CGAATCGGCGTCGATTATCTCGACTTGCGAGTACTCGCTCCCCGTTTATGCCTCACGGAGGGTGTCTCACGAGGGGCTCGTTCTTTCCGTTCCGTCGAGCCCAAACGCTTTTTCGGGCAATAAGGTCTCGCTTTTTAAAGACTTTTAATTTCGGCTCTTCTCATTGTAGCGCGCTTACGCACTCGAGGATCCGAGTGATTTCGGCTGTAGCACCTGACGTACCTCCGACGCCCAGCAAATCCCGAAAATTCCCTATAAGAACTGCCGCCACCTCTTTCGAGCCGCAAGAAAATATACGCGGGCGCGCGTGTGTGCGACGAAGGAGCACGAAGGAAGAATGGAATAATACTCCCGGGGGCCGAGGGAGGGGGATGAGAAAAATCGGGCGTGCGAAAATATGCGGAGCGAGGAGACCTAGGAGTTTCCCACCTAGATACTCGGGGCTCGTCTAGGGCTCGATGTTGGGGTTATTCGGGTTGAAAGGAGGAGGGAGGGAGAAACAAAGTGGGAAGAGAGAAAGAAAGTGGGAAGAAAAAAAAAGTGCCAACGGAAAGGTAGAAGCGGTGCGATGCGCGCGCGCGCGCATAAATCACGCAGCGCACGCAAGGCCGTATAAGTCAAGTACGCGTCCCATAAACCTATAATATATAAGGCTGTATTAATTCAAACGTTGTACGTGTTTTTATATGTAGATGATCTGGGCACAGGTAGAATATAACATGGCGACGGCCGGAGGGGAGGGATGAGCTTGGAGAGCTAGAGAAAGGGTCGATCTTTCTCGATCCGCGAACCCAACTTGCACGCTCGGCCGAATTATGCCAATGAACTCTGCTTGATAGATATCAAGGACTCGTGAATTATGGCACCGGGGGATAGCAGTGCTTTCGGGCTTTGTGGCTAAAGCCGAAAGGAGCTTCGGTTACAACACGACGACCTGCCAACTTTCAAATAATGTGTCCGCGCGCCGTTTGGACGAACGAGTCACTAATTACAATTTCAAAGTCAGAGGTTTAAGGATCGTCATGAATAGTCGGCATTTCACTAGCCGAATTATAGATAATTATACTTATTATGTATAATGTATGACAGCTCCATTAATAAAAACGTTTGAGGCACTTAATTATTTTTCCTTACTTATATATATTTATATA